ATCTACAATATATTACTTATCAAGTACATGTAATACTTTTCAATAAAAAAAAAGTACAAAATAACAAAGAAAACATGAAAAAAAAAATGAAATTAATATTACGACCCAATCATATTAAGCAATTAGAACGCTGTAATTTGGCTCATGTTTTATTCAATCATTATACTATAGACCATGTTCTACCTTGTAAGATAAATTACTAAGGTAATATATATTTTTAACATATTGAAAGTTCAATTTTTGTGTATTGAAAATTCATTGTTTGATAATATATCGAATAATGAACTTTCAGTACACAAATATGAACCTTTAGTATATTAAAAATGAACATTTATCTCTGGTACACATTGCAAGATGGAACATGATATATTGGATAACGATTGAATAAAACATTATTGGCTCATACCGTACAAGCTTTTGGCTACCATTATTTAATGTGCATATCAATATCATTTAGATTCAATGTGATCTTACAATGTAAAACTAATATCTATCTTGTTGTAATGAGTAATATATGACAACTAAATATGATATATTTAATTCTCCCAAAAGAAATTATATATATTTGTATATATTGTGAAATTGAAACGTGTTGCGAGGCCTTTGTAAACACATTGCAAGATTGATATATATTTGTACGGATATAATATGCTTAATATTGGTCATTGGCAATCACATTTTGAAAAAAGCATATGTTGCCATTAATTTATAGATTTACTCATTTACTACGACAATTTTATAAAATATATAAAATAATGATATAAGCAATTCAATAAATTATAAATAAATTCTTATCTATCGTATGGTGTATTGATGATACTTCTTTGTATATCGTGTGGGTTATTTGCTTACCATAAATGATATTTTGACTCTTTAATATTCATTATTTAATTAAATAAATTAGTAGCTATGCATATGAAACTTATTGATGAAACTGAACACATTGTGACATCAATATTCGGACTACTTGCAGAGTCATTATTGTTACTATCAAGTAAACAAGTTATAGAACTATAACAAGATGTAGTACTCATGAACCTTCTACAAATATAATAAATTTTAATATTTTGTTTAATACTTTCACATGAGAATCTACAACACATATACATGTAAGGGAAGAAACTACCACTACAAAATATCAACAGGTATTAATGTATATCAATTTACATAATGTAGAGAATTGTAACAGACAATTACAATGATTTGATTGGATATACATTAATAACAGGCATTTGCAAGATCACGAGTTCATATAGTGCAACTAAAATCTTAGTCATATACACAAAGTAAATTCACAGTTTCCTACACCACAATCTCATTGCATGACGATGTCCTATATGCTATCACAGTAACCCAATTACACATGACACACTATCAATAAAAAAGAAGAGGACAAGTACGGAAGATGAAGACAATGACGATGCTACCTAAAAGAGAATTACGAAGACTTAAAGAGAAATTCAAATCAAAAGTAGTATTTAGTTAAACTATCATTTTTAGACTAAGTATTTAAACTTGCGTTTTTACAAAGTTACAAATATTTATTTTATTTATTTTAATGACAATTATAATCAATCTCTCATATATTATCTTGCATTCATATACTTTGAATTATCTATTTAAATAAATAAATTCAACATTCAATTACCTATGCATATGGACATCTATTCCCTATATAATCTTGCATTGATATATTTTGAAATATTTATTTAAAAATAAACATTAGGCACTGAGACTCAAACTCACAACCTTCCAAATAAAAATTCAACCTAGATACCACTAGACCACATAGTCTTGGTAGCCGCCATCCTAATTTAATTTAAGTATTACTTAAAATACTCTTTTAAATGGAGTAAAGGCAGTGAAAAGCTACGAGCAGCCTTCCTAACGTAATTAAGTAATTTAATTATTTCGACCTCAATGAAATAATAATTAATAAATCTAAGCGGGCCCTCGATCTTTTGGGTAACTAAATTACTTAATACATTTCACTACTAAAACATTGTTGTTCTCATCTTTTATTCGACTATAGTACACAAATTAGAGGTTTCGTATAATAAGGGTTTGTATAAAAAAAACTTTATAGTGTTTGGCTACCAATTAAGATGGAGTCAATTAAAAATATTATTCAATTAAAAGAAAAATGATTAATATTGGCGAATTGGAAAAATAATTTTTGGATTCCTATCTTAATTCTCTCTCTTTCTTACTCTTTGAGTGGTGTCAAAGGGGTCTGTTAGCTAGCCTATCATCTGTGATCTATTCAGTTAGAGTTAATTTTATTTTTGGTGTCATATTTAATTTATAGGTGACAATTAATTTTTAGTCATTTTTTAAAAAGTTAGTTATAGTATTATTGTGATCCACACGGATGCTTCTTTTGTGGATTCGAATAAGCCAATAGGATATGGTGCAGTGCTCAGAGCTAATAATTAAAGGGAACTGGATGAGGGTTCAGCTGCAGAGTCAAAGCGGACCATGCTACGGAGGGGGAGTGTGGAGCTATCAATAGTGCACTTGGATGGGCATGCGGCAAGGGTGTCAAGAAGCTGTAAATACAAAGTGACTCCAACAATTATGGATGATTACGGTTCGGTTCGAATTGTAATTGTTACTGTGCTAACTGAACCGTAACCGGAATCGTTTGTACGGTTCCGATTCCGATTCCGATTCCTAATCGGAATCAACAAAGTTCCGATTAAGGTTTGTAATATTCTGGAACTGGAACCGTCACTTCCGATTCCAAAAACCGTGAAATTAAAAAAAATAATAAAAATAAAAACCAAGTTTGACCAGCAGACCATGACTTAGTGATTAAAACTTCAGTTTTTTTTGAAGTTTGAATGGAAATTATAAATTTGTTATAAATAAATAAATAATAATAATGATAGCATGGAGGCGTGGAGCTTAAAGATGGAGGAAAGTTTGACTATAGTCTTTTTTTTAATTGGTTCATTGGCTTTTAATTGCACCTAAAGTGGTAATTTGACTATTGAATTTTAAGTCAAAATAGTTTTCCGTTATCTTTAGTGTTAAGTGGGTGTTAAATGAAGGGCAAAATTAACAATTTATATTGGCTTATGTTTTGTCTTAAATCAATTAGAATATGTTATATCATAAGAATAATAAGTCTAATATATACATGTTTTTTTGAATGCCTAATATATACATGTTAAATATATATCTTATGATTTCTCTAGTTTATATGATTGTCTTGTATTCCCATATATGTTCAATATATTTCTCTAGTTTATATGATTTTTAAAACAACAAACAATATAAATTGTCCCTTTTGTCCTTTATTTTAACACTAAAGCTAACGGAGGATTATTTTGACTTAAAATTCAATACTCGGAGGACTACTTTGGGTGCAGTTAAAAGTCAATGAACCAATTTGAGAAAAGACCATAGTCGAATGAAAATTTTGAGAATTAACTCTAAAGTTCAAATTAGTCAAATGTTAAATTTTGGTAACAATCTATATAAAAGGTTTTGTATTTATTATGGTATGATAAACTTTATCAATAGTATTATTTATATTAAGAACTGTTGCCAAAGACCTGGTGGTTTAATGGCACCAAGTCCCTCCCTCATAGGGAAGGTTGTGGGTTCGAGCTTAAATAGTGGCGCTATATGGTTCTTTGTGCTTCATTTGGTTAAAAAAATAGTTATTATATTCTTCCAAAGGCTGAACCCCACCCTAAGGGCCCCCTACAGCCCACACCCACTAGACCTGTGCTCACTGCACACAAGGAACTCCCCTCACTTTGAAAAAAAAAAAAACCTGCCCTACATTAAAAATAGGTAATGGCTAGAAAGAATTTGATATTTGACTAAATAAGTTAGTTATACAAAGTAACAATAGTTACTTCCTTTTATTTTTGAAGTAAGCAACATTTTATATGTGTAACATTATAACATTCAATTATTTTATTATTAGAGAAAACAAATTCAATTTGGGGTTTGATTAATCATAATTTTAACCATGTTAGAGGAATCTCTATTTTCTATATTAATCACGTTTATTATGGTTCTACGTTTATCAAAATCTTCCGTTAAAATTTGTCTTTAAAAATTATGATCTTCCAGGATAATAATATTTATCAATTTATAATGTCTTCCATTTTGTGATCTACTAAAATTAGCGTAACTGGGGTGACTAAATTCTCATCAGTTTAAGGAATTATAATATTTTCTAACTAAGAATTTAATCTATATTTGTTGTCACCTTATATGTTATTTCAAATTAAAGTGGGGGTTACAGTTTTGAATTTTAAATTCAAAATCAATGTCATTAGTACTAATTACATCCATCCCTCCAGCCTATATGTACCCGTGTTGGGCAAAAGTTTCTACACTTTTGTTCAAAGCAATATATGTTAGTATTTGAATATATTCTTGTAATCTATTGTTTCTTAGGAAACTGGCACTTCAATGCTCCCAGTGATGAAGTGAATTAGTTTTAAGGAAAGGGTGTATCATAGATCATGGATTAAGCAAGAAATTACTGTGAACTTATTTTTTTAGCAATGTTTAAGAACTTTTTATACTCTTAAAATTAAATTTTGATTTTCACTTTTTACGAAACTCTCTATTCTTCTAAAATTTTGTCAACAATTCATTTAAAATTAAGAAGTGTTCATTTTTTTTTCAAGTTTGTTAAAATCAAAATTATATATTAGACCGATTAAATATATTCATCATAATCCATGGTATAGTACGAAATCTATGCTTCAATTGCTCCTAACACTCTCAGGATGAAGCAAATCAATTAATTTAAGAAAAAAGTGTGAATGTCAAATATCTTATGATTATGAACCAACTTTTCTAACTTGTCTATTGATACAGATAGAAATGACCTTTCCTATAACAGTGTATAACACTATAATTAGAAGTAATACACCCTCCTTAATTTTCTAAAAATATCGTGTATCATGCCAAAATAGCACTATAAAAATGGCGAGACTGCCATTGTATCAAAACTCATCAACGCTCGACCCTATATCTAAACTTTCAGTAAAAAGAAATTACAGAAATGGATGTTAATGTTAATTCATCAGGTCGTCGCTCAGTAACCTATCATCCAACTGTCTGGGGAGATTATTTTCTTGCCTATGATTCCAAACTCACGGTATATATGTAATTTCAATACATACATACATATCTATACAGGGCCGGGTTCCCGTACGGTCATATTCTCCGGTGTAAAATGCAAGAATGCACCACAACATGTTGAGAAATGCACAAGAAAGTGGTGCATTTGTCCATTTCACCTTGATATATTTCTGAATTAGTTATGTTACATTTATGCATATCTAATGGTGCAATCCGCACAGGAAAACATGTTCGTTTTTGAACCAGTGTATATATATGTAGGTTTCAATGTGGACAGTGCTTCACTGCTTCCCGTGCGGCTATGCACCATTAAATACGCATAAATGCACCACAAAGTGATCGAAAATACACCATTAGGTGGTGCATTTTTTGGTGTATGGTGCATATGGTGTATTTTACATTTCATTTTGGTATATTTTCAAAAGTTGTTTGGTGCATTTATGCATAACTAATGGTGCAATCTGCATCGACCGCACAAAAAGTCTTGTCTTCATTTGAAGGTATATATATATATATATATATATATATATATATATATAAACATTTTCAAGAAAAATGCAACATTTTTTTTGTTACTTGTACAGGAAATTGATCCTTCAGAAGAACGAGAAGTGCAACAACTGAAAGAAGAGGTAAGAAAAGTGCTTATTGCAGCTCCTCCTGCATCCCTGGAGAAACTAGAGCTAGTCGACAAGATCCAACGTTTAGGAGTGGATTACCATTTCGAGAATGAAATACAGGCATCAATACAACACATATTTGACAACTACGATAATTGCATCAAGGGAGACGACGAGAATAACCTCTATGTAGTTTCTCTTCGTTTTCGATTACTCAGACAAGAAGGCCACCATATCTCATGTGGTAATAAGTTACTATTTCTCAGAAGAAAAATTCGATATATATAGTACTATATGATATGATATGATGACTTATATTTCACTGTTGACTAAAAAATAAAGGTGTGTTTGAGAAATTCTTGGACAAAGACGGGAAGTTTAAGGATTCGTTGACCAAGGATGTGGAAGGGATGTTAAGCTTGTACGAGGCATCATATCTTGGAGTGCATGGGGAGACCACTTTAGATGAAGCATTAACGTTTACTGCAAGTCACCTCGAGTCGATTTTGCCTGGTTTGAACGAGTTGGCGGCAGCTAAAGTGAGTCATGCCCTAAAACTGCCCATCCGGCGGACCTTACCAAGGGTGGGAGCCAAGGAATACATGCAAATTTATGAACAAGATCAAACTCATAACAAAGTGTTATTGAGATTTGCCAAGTTGGATTTCAACTTGCTGCAAAAAGTACATCAACGAGAGCTAAGTGGCATCACAAGGTTAGTCTGTTTTTGAGAATTTATTCTTCTTTTAGAGGGTGTTTGGTAAATAGTTGTTAGTTGATTGAGTTAGTGTGTTTGACTAGTTTATAATATTAGCTTATTATTGAAAGATGTTTGGTAAATTAGCTGACATCTGATTACATACAAAATGACTTTCTCAAAAACATTAGTTAATTACCTACCTTGCTATTCTATATAGGTGGTGGAAAGATTTGGGTGTCCCAAAAATGTTACCCTTCGCAAGACATAGATTGGCAGAATGCTATTTTTGGATATTGGGAGTATACTTTGAGCCGCAATACCACTTTAGTAGAAGAATAACAACCCAAATCATTTGTATATGGTCTGTTTTAGACGATCTTTATGATGTTTATGGGACCCAGGATGAACTCCAGCTTTTCACAAATGCTATCCAAAGGTAAGAACATGCTTCGAGAGTTCAAAATTAGGAATCTCATCATAATAATTTTAATTAAGTAATAAATTAAAAAAAAAAAAAGCCCTTGGAAAAATTCTTATTCTTGACATATATATCAAGGTGAAATAACATTATATTGTTGATGTGTAGGTTTGACACAAGTGCCTCTAATGAAGTACCACAATACCTGAAGAAGATATATCTTGCAATTCTAGATATTACTACTGAAATGGAAGAAGTGATGGCAAAGGAAAACAAATTGTTTCATGTCTCTTATACAATTGGAGAGGTTAATTTCTTTTCTAAACTACTACTCCGTATTATTTATTTACATTATATATAAAAACAAGGAACAAGTAATTAATTAATATGGATGTTTTGTTGTTTTTATTGTTTGCATGTATAGATGAAAAAGCAAATCAGAACATACTATCAAGAATTCATGTGGTTTTATACCAAACATGTTCCACCATTTGAAGAGTACTTGAAAGTTTCACTGGTGTCAAGTTGTTACATGATGATTGCAACGACTTGTTTGGTGGGCATGGGGGATATTATAACCAAGGAAGTTCTCGACTGGGTTACAAGTGAGCCTCTTGCAGTCAAAGCTACCTGCTCAATTTGCAGATTAATGGATGACATGATTGGACATGAGGTAATCAAATAATACAAATGCATAATATAATTGCTTGCAAAGCGCCAATACTTTATATTCTTACTCTCATATAATTCAAGTGAAAGGAATAAAAATTAAAAATTTGATCACCTTGTTAGATCTCAGTACTGCACTATGCTTACTTTACTGCAAAAAGTCAAGCACACTTAACTACAGAGTTCTTTTGCTTGTCATATCATACTTAAAACAAATTATTAGTGATAAGTAGGTGGACATTAATTATATATTTAACCACATCCCTCCATGGTAAGCCATAACATCACGTCTCGAATCGAGCAGGGGCTGAACTCGGTCAATCCGACTGACGCCCAACACACTTACACACCTTAAATCCATGAGTACTTGTGAATGGTGTTATTAACATGCATTGAGAGCAAGAGCTTTTCATCGATCTCATTGTATATATTAACAATTGTAGAGATGTATACTTTGTGCAGTTTGAGCAGGAGAGGGGCCATGTAGCTTCCGCAGTAGAGTGTTACATGAAAGGGTACAATGTGTCAAAGCAAGAGGCTTATGTTGAGATTGAAAAATTGATTTCAAAAGCATGGAAAGATATAAATCAAGAATGCCTTCATCCATTACCAGTTCCAATGAAAGTTCTCTTACGAGTTTTGAATTTGGCACGTGCAATATTCCTTATCTACAAGGATAATGATATTTACACGTTTTCTCAAGTCAAGTTCAAGTCTCTCATCACCACCACTTTGGTTCAGCCTGTGACAATATAAATAGGGATGATGACACATTCCTATAATTATATAAAAATATTATTATAATAATTATCAATAAGTACTGAATCTGCATTCATGGAGAAGTATATTGATGTGTTGATTGGATGACAATATATCGTGATCACCTCACTCATAGCTTGTCTCCACTGTTCAATACTCCTCCAAGAGGCGGCATTATGACCATATTGTTTGCAAATGTTGTTGGTGTTGTTCAATCTTGCTTCGTGTGTAGTATGTATTTGTTATTTGTTTGGTTGCTTTTCTAAATTTTGATGTATAAAAGAATAGTGATGCTTGTTATTGTCTCTTTATTCAAATTAAGTTGTAAAGAAACTATAGTAACAAACAGCGAAGTAGCCATGTATGAAATTTTAAGTATCCATATATTATTATATGTATCTCTATTAATCCTTAATCATTCACATAGTAAACGTACTTAACATGGCCACGATATAAACTTTTAAGCTTTAATTGGGCTCACTACTACAGAAAAGAGCTACACAGAGGCGGTTATTTTTACACATACACGACGGTTCTTGAAGTGCCGTATAAGTGACTATATTTGTATATAAATACTTTTTACGGCGATTTTTTGAACCCCATCTATGTTACCTATATATGGCGGTTAAAAAACTACGTATAATCTAAACAAGCACGCCGTCTATCTGTACTTTATACGTCGGTTCTGGATAGAACCGCCGTAGAAAGTATTTTTTAACAATAAAAAAACAAGTATAGATGACGATTATTTTGAAATAACATTATTTTGAAGAACCGTCGTCTATTTAAATAATAGAAATGATATACGGCGATTCTTCAAAATAATGTTATTTCAAAATAACCGCCGTCTATACTTGTTTTTTTATTGTTAAAAAATACTTTCTAAGGCGGTTCTATGCAGAACCAACGTATAAAGTACAGATAGACAGCGTGCTTGTTTAGATTATACGGCGGGTTTTTAACCGTCGTATATGTTGAAAAAAGTGCTTGTAATCTGTAATACATTTGAGATACAACAATAATACAGAATACAACAGGGAACAAAAACTGGATCATTTGATATCTTCGGGCGTGTAATCACTTTCCTATACGCTTTAAATCTCCCTTTATAAAAGCAACAAGGTTCAAGATTTAATCTTATGGGATACAAGAAGATGAATGAAATTCTCAAGTTGCTTTGTTTGAGAATTTTCTGTAGAGATGTAAGCCTGTGAACAGGGCCGTTCCAATAAAAAGTGAGGTCCTGTGCAATATTTTAATTTGGGTCCCTTTTCAATAAATTTCTATATATAAATAATAGTTGTTCAAAAAGTTATGTCAAAAATTCAAAACATAAATATTGTATACAAAAAATACATCTAAAATTTCACTTAAAAAGTGACATGCGCCGTGCACACTTAGACGCAAAATCATCCACCAAACTTTTAATAATGCAGACGAAAATCTTCTAGATAATTTATCTTTAGGACCTTTATTTATTGATAAATCTCTTTTAGGACCATCTTTCACAAGAATATCTATTAATTCAGAATCAAGGTCATCTCAATTTCTTGGATCATATATGTCAAATAAAAGCGAATCATTTGGTTTATCACTGTGACCAACATCATCTAAACAACTATCAACATTCTTACTATTTTCATTTATTTTCAATGTCACAGTGATAACTATCATCATTGTGCACACCATTGTTAAAAAATTTTCCAATCTCACAATCATCTTGATCTTCTATATGAAAATTAGCATCTAACAAATTTTCCTTGGCATCATCTTTTTGCTCATCTATTTGAGTTTTTTTTTTTTTTTTTTTTGTAATGAATTTTTCAAGAGCTCCCTTTTGAGATTGAGTTAGTTGCTCAATCATTCTTTTCTTTTTATGCTTCTCAAACCCAGACGAATATTTTCTAGAAGACATAAAATCCTAAAGAAAAAATAAAAATTTATTTAGAAACACTATCAATAAATAATTAATAAAGAAACGAATTCTTTGAATATATTATTCTGAAATCAGAATTACTAAGTCATGTAATGATGTAAATAAAACAATAAATAAGAATTATAAAACAATACGTAATTTTAATTATATTACCTGTCAAGAAAATTGAATAACTTCAGAGTTTGTGTCAATTCACTAAATTGCGCTGCCTAAGAGACGTCAAACAACGAAGAATAAAATAAACAAACCCAAATTGAATATTTAAATTACTACATAAAAAAAAAAATACAAACAACCAAACAACAAAAAATTAAGATTTAAGAATACAATTGAAAAGAAGAATACAATTGAGATTAAAGCACTACAGCGGCCTCAATAACGCAAATAAGTAAAATTAAATATTACCTAGGGAAATTGAATTATTGAAATTGTTGTAGTCTCTCTAATTCTTCTGTCACTCTGTGTCTTTGTCTACTGCTAGGCGCTAGAATCTAGATTAGGGAATAGGGATTTAGGGTAGGGACGTAGGGTTTGAGTGTTTAATGATTTGTGAGTTTTTCTCTTAGTCGCTACGTTTGAACGCCGTAACTGCCGAATGCCAATATATATACTATACTTTTTTTAAAAAAAAATATGGGGACCCCAAAATTTGAGGCCCTGTGAGCCAGCTCTGGGCAGACTTGCCCAGGGACGGCCCTGTCTGTGAAGTATCTTGGTTTCCTGCAAAATAATTGCTTGTAAAATAATGCATCAGTTAACTTTTTTCTTTGTCTCTTTCAGATTTCTTTCCAACATATTTATATAAAATATTTTGATTGTTAGGAGAGGTTACATGGAAGTTACAGAAGTTTAAAACTTCAACTTTCACAAGATATATCTTGAATAATATATCTGTCACTGGAAAAATAATTAAATTATTTTGAGTCAGTAACTGTATGCAAAATTATATACATATATATATTTATATATTCCTTACGCATGAAAACAAGCAAAGAATAAATATAAATAATATCCATATATGTAGTTCAATAATCTCAAGTATACAGCTACATATACCAAGCATGTTAAGTGTAACTTTGAAGCATATAGCTTCAAAATGCATAAATAGAAGAGCATATTCCAAGCACGTTAAATGTAGTTTTGAAGCATATAGCTTCAAAATGCCCCAAAACCTTACGCATGAAAATATCCAAACATGCATTAATACTCTCAAGCATATTAGCTATAACTCTCAAGCATATTAGCTATATATCACAAGCATATAGCTATATACTCACAAGCATATTAATACTCTCAAGCATATTAGCTATAACTCTCAAGCATATTAGCTATATATCTCAAGCATATAGCTATATATCACAAGCATATAGCTATATAAATTTCTCACAGTATTTTAATTAACTTTCTACCAAACTAAAATAATATTTACAACTCCACAACTCCAAATATTATTTAAGCTTTCATGGTAGTTCATCTGAAACATTAATCTCCATTACTATATAAATTTCCAACAGTATATAGGTAACATAGACGACGGTTCAAAAAATTGCCGTAAAAAGTATTTATTTACAACTACAGTCACTTACACGGCACTTCAAGAACCACCGTGTATGTGTAAAAATAACCGCTTTCGTAGCTCTTTTTTGTAGTAGTGTTAATTAATTTGAGTAAAGAGACAATAACAAATATCACTATTTTTTTAATACATCATATCACAAAATTTAAAAAAGCAACCAAACAAATAACAAATATCACTAGGACTATGTGGTCTAATGGTATCCGGGTTGGACTTCCATTTGGAAGGTTGTAAGTTCGAGCCTCAGTGGAGGCATTATTGGCTTTTTGTGTTTCAGTAGGTTGAGAAAGTATATGAACAGATACTACAATTGTAATAGAGCTAGTAGCATTCAAAAAAAATAACAAATATCACTATTTTTTTAATACATCATATCACAAAATTTAGAAAAGCAACCAAACAAATAACAAATATCACTATTTTTTTAATACGTCATATCACAAAATTTAGAAAAGCAACCAAACAAATAACAAATATTAGTGTCATGGGAAATTAAAGCATTCATTTAATATAGAAGAAAGGAAACACAACATACTACATGAAGCAACATACTTTATTAAATATGGTTTTGTGTTGAAAAAATAGCATAAAATGACATTTTAAGTAGTTATTTTGTGGTACAAATATTATTGGGGTCTATTTCTGATTTGAGTCGGGTCAAAGTGGATTTGGGTTCTTCGTAGTGAGACGAATATATTGATATATTGTACACTCAAAACGGATAATGGGTGAATGATAAATTAATTCTCAAAGTAGACTTATTTGAGTTGAAAAATAAAGGTGAAAAGGCTTTAAAGAAACTTTTGTCTCACATTAGTTTAAGAAGTGAATTCACACCACTAAGATTTATTAAATTGTATAGCATAGAGGCTCTTTCGCGCGCAAGAGATGCAAATCAAATCCCAAAATAACTTTGAAAAGTTATGCTAATTTTTTGTAGATGGCTCGGCTCGGTTGTGGTAGTGGCTGCTACTATTCGGGCACAGGTGATTTCCTACTACTTTTTTTTTTCCTGTGATCATAGCCTTGTTCTAGTTTGTCGGGTTTGAGACCGTAGCTTGGTTTATCTTGAGAAACCTAGACCTACAACGCTTCTAGCACCAAAGGAAGGTAACAAATAATGTTTTAAGGATAATGTAGGTATCACACGACTCAAGCTAAACACCTAACCTATAAATCCTTTCGTTTCGTGGTTGTTATTTTTTCTAGATAAGAAATATTATTTTCCTATTACTATTTGGTAACATTATGTACCACTGGTCACAATTTAATTTGATAAAAAAATGAAGTAGACTTATTGCTGTATTTAACACTCTAGAGTCTAATCAGTCTAGGCCGAACCTCCAAAGAAGTGAAAGAACTCATCAGACTCTCCGGCCATCTCATCGAGCAAAAAGGAAAATGTCTAAAGACGACATGGACCTCCAGGCACCGTTTATCCCAGCGGCGGCGGTGGACGGCGGAGCCAAATTGGAGAGGCTAACCATCGACGACATTTTGCAAAAACACTGCGGCGAGTTCGGGTGGTGGCAGTTCAAACACTTCATCTTAACCAGTTTGGCTTGGGCTCTGGAAGGCATACACACCATGCTCATGATCTTTGCCGATCGTGATCCCGGATGCCGCTGCACTACTTCCGCCGCCGTCTCCGGTTGCTCTTCGGCGGGTTCCGACGTCTGCAAGCTCGAACCCGGCTCGTGGGAGTGGAAAGGCGGGCCGGAAAGCTCTACCATGGCCGAGTTTGGATTGATTTGCGGTCAGAAATACCGGGTTGGGTTGGTCCAAGCGTTGTTCTTCGCCGGCTGCATGATCGGTATGTTA